GAAAAAAAGTATGATAATATCTCTAAAGTCATGCATTCCTTGGTAGCGATCACCTCATTTCTGGGAACTAGGTGACCTGGGAAACACGTCTAATGAAGAACGATATGAATGAAAAGCTAATGGAAACTGTCAATGCGGTCGGCGGTCGGAGCTATGTCCTGCAAGACCCGCCGCAGAAGAATACAAAAACTTTTCGATCTAACTCTTAATCTCATGGCTGTTAGACGGGAAATGAAGCTGCAGTCTTCAGCAGATTTGACAGCATACAAGTAACTGAACGGATAGATCTTCAAGTACATGCACCGGGACTCACGCATTTAATACAGCTCGTATTGAAGTTGCGATCGAGCGGAACCAGGGCTCCAAAGTCTTTGCCAGAAAGAGCTGCCAGAATGTTCAGGGTTTCTCTGCGGGATAAACTAAGAAATGAGGATATCCGCAGTAGAACCACAGTAACCGAAATAGTCCAAGGGATTAGTAAGCTGAAATAGAAATGGGCCAGCCATATAGCTAGGGGGAGGCCTATGCAGTGGAGTTGTGAAGGACTGTAATTTTGATGATTATTAATATTAAACTGTACTACCATTATGTGACTAAAGACTTAATAATGGCTTTACAAATGATAGACATCAATTTAACTAAATTTAAAGTTTCTCTCTCTCTCTCTCTCTATCTCTCTCTCTATTCAGTAAATGACAGTAGAAAGACACAGTTATAAAGATAATTGCTTATTAATTTAATAAAATAAAACTTATTTTCGTAACAGATTATCAATTATTATAACAAGGTCTGTAATTGCCTATCTGCAATATTTTCAAATTTCACTTTCTTTTTGCTATCTACCAACTTCAAAAAGAGGAGTCTTGTTTTTCTATTTTATATGTGTGTTACCTCATAACTTTTTTCTGCGTGAACATATTTCGATGATTCTTTTTTATTTGAAATCTCACTTGTGGTTGGTTGCTCTGGCACATAGACATCTACATCTATCCTCGTTTGCGAATCAAAATGCAGATGCGTTGTCACCCGTGAGGACTAATATAGATTTTTTTTTCTAGTAAAAAGGGTCTCCCTTTCTCTACACTCACCAACCGTAACACAGCAGTGTTAAGCTGCTATTTTACGCTGGTATTCTGTGAGAGCGTGGTCCTTACTCGGTCGAGCCAACCCATTCATGCTACAACTATAATACTAATATAGCTGCAGCATGGCTCTACCAACCATAAATTCATCAAGATCTGACCAATAGTTTTTGAGTTATTCTTAATAATTTATATTGAAGTCGCTTGAACAAAATCATTTAATTTTAAATTATTCTAAATGTTATTAAATCATACGCCCAACGTTTTTTAGTATTTCCAACATTCTCTTTCTCCTTCTTTCTTTATCAATCCATGAATCCAAAAATGACGTCCATTGATGAACATAAGCCTCGCCCCATACGAGTATATCATATGGGGATTTGACATAGTTGTTTGATTTCATGTTTTATTACCTGATAAATCGATTACAGTTTGATTTAATAAAAAAAACCTTATCTGTCAAATGCTTATCCTTATCCTTTAAGTCTTCAACTTTATCGGTCGAATACATTTAGGTATCATTTCCAGTCATAGTATAACGTATTCTATCTTCACTTTATCGCTAACACATCAAAGTGCACCGTTAAATACCACATAGGGTACCTATTGGGTCCAATTATGAATCTACCTTTCTTGAATCAACACATCATCATCATCATCATTACAGCCCTTCACAAGTCCACTGCTGAACATAGGCCTCCCCCAAGGAATGCCACAAAGCACGGTCCTGAGCCACCTGCATTCATTGACTTCCTGCATATCTTACCAGGTCGTCACTCCATCTAGTGGTGGGACGTCCAACACTTCGCCTGCCGGTACGAGGCTGCCACTCGAGAACCTTTTTTCTCCATCGTTTGTCGGTTTTTCGAGCTATATGGCCGGCCCATTGCCAATTCAGCTTACTAATCCGTTGGGCTATGTCGATCACTCTCGTTCTACTGCGGATATTCTCATTTCTGAGTTTATCACGCACAGAAACTCCGAGCATAGCCCTCTCCATAGCTCGCTGAGCGACCTTGAGCTTCCTCATCTGGCCAGCAGTGAAGGACCACGTCTCAGTTCCGTATGTCATCACTGGCAACACGCACTGGTTGTATAATTTCGTTTTAAGGTTTTGAGGAATGTCTAACGAGAAGATGTGTCGTAGTTTCCCGAACAATGCCCAGCCGAGTTGAATCCGTTGATTGACCTCTCGGTCGAAGTTGGACTTACCTAGTCGGACTATTTGTCCCAGGTAAACATACTCGTCAACAACTTCGAGCTTAGTGCTCCCAAGAACTACCGGCATAGGTGTGTCATAGATATTAAACATGATCTTTGTTTTTTCCATGTTAATCTTAAGACCTATCCGTTGGGATGCACTATTGAGGTCATTGAGCATGGTGCTTAGGTCCTCCAGCGATTCTGCCATAAGGACTATATCGTCGGCAAATCGAAGGTGAGTGATGTACTCGCCATTGATGTTGATACCGTATCCTTTCCAGTCCAGAAGCTTGAAAACGTCTTCCAATGCAGCGGTGAAGAGTTTCGGGGATATGACGTCACCCTGCCTTACACCTCTCTGCAATTGGATAGGTTTCGTACTCCGGTTCTGTACGCGGATAGCCATCGTAGCCCTACTGTACGCGAGACATAGACTCTTATATATATATTTATATATATATATAACAAATTTAATCTGAAAATTTAGATTCAAGTTTATGTAACAAGGCTCCTCAAGAATATTTTCTTAATATTAATTTCTCTGTTTTGATATCAATCAATAACCAAGTAACATTATTATATACAAAAAATATGTACTTAAGATTTGTGGTAACACTGCTTGTGACGCAGCTCTAGCATTAAAATAGACTAACAAACCGACTGCCTTTACCACCGGTACCATCAAAATAGTCAAACGCTATTTTAAATATTTTCTAGATGGTTGGACTCATTTTCTGTAAATCTGGGTAAGTACCACCCCTTAAGCTTTAAGCTGCTGTCAAAGAGCAGTGCGTGCACTGTTACATTGCGGCCTGAAGAGTATAAAGATCTAGTATGATTACAAGCTGTAAGCCACCTTAATTCTCCATCGTCATCATCAGTTATTAACGCATCTGTAGACTCTTTATTTGAAGTTGGCTGTAGGAGTCCATGAACTACAGTAGTCAGTTACCTAGCGGTGGGCTGTAAGTTCGTTTTTCGCTATAGATTTATAAAAAATCAATATTTATCATAATACTGTGATCATTATTATCGAAGAACAAAATGTGGGAACAGTCATTTCTGAGCAATTAAAAATATTTCGGGGACACATGAATACGTATTGCCACTCTAAAACACTCTCATAAATAAAATGATACTTAACCCTTAACAGCGAGAATTTTATATGTTTTTACTTTACTTTTGTTGCTTACCTTATTACTTACCGTATCACCTTATTTAATTTCACGCCTTCCTGTATACATATCACTTACCACTTATATTAATCTAACAATAATTATCAGTTTAGAATTATAGGGTTCCGTTTGGAAATTTGTAAGCGTAAAGTACTGCGTTTTCACAAAAGATTAGCGTTTTTTTTTTTTTGATAGTCGCCACACTTAAAAATTATGTAAAAATTAAAAACTGTACCAGTCGTCAGTCAGTGGCATAAGTAAAAATAGTAATAAAATTTTTAAATAATAGTAAACAGTAAAATCATACAACATCAACTTCCAACATCAAGACGTTTTGACATGACGTTATATGAACATAAAATTAAAACAAAGAAGAGTACTTAAAAGAGCAATAATAATTTACAGCTACAACACTGTTTTAATTTTAAAGTATAGTCTATTTACTAAGATAATGTCGGTACACCCGGAGGCGCACTTATTTTTTTTTATTAGTAAAAAATGTTACCATAGGATTTTCTCCTGTATCGTAGAGGCAGATTACAAATATAAATTGCACAAGGACAAACATCCATACCCGGGACAATTACTTAGCTTTTATTTTATTATTTTTTACTGTTTTTGTTGAATAAGTACTGGTCTATTCCAAAAATAAAATAGAACACTCTTTTATTCTTATGGTTATTGTAATAAAATATGAATATAAATAAAAAAAAAAAACAAGTTATTTAGCAAAGAGAATTTAAATGAAGAATATGAGTGGGTAGGTAAACATTTAAACAAAAGTAAAATAGACTCTATTCCTTCGGCCGAAATTCGGTCTGGAGGACATTACTTGGTGGCGAATGAAAGCTAGCATAAATTAATCTTTAGATTTCTAGGACATATACCATTGACATCAGGTGACCCGCGTGCTCGTTTGCCCCCGCGTGCTCGACTGTGTTCGTTTTTTATTTTGAACTGAAAAGCTGTTGTCTAGAAGTAAAATACTAAATAAAGTAAAATTAAAAAAAATTAAAAGACTAAATAAGACCTGTCCTTTTTTTTACTTTAAGAACATAAAATAGTATTAAATAAAAAAGATACAATGACTTTAAAGCCTATGCTTAGCTCATAATCTGTTGAATTTCTTGAATATAATATTTTTAAAATGGTAATAATATTTCATAGATATAGAAAGTCTAAATAAGTATAAATGTAAGGGCGGGGGACACTTACTTGCTCCGAGCCTCTCAGCAATGAGAAGAGCCCGTGCCCAGGAGTAGAACATTATGCTGATCGCTCCACCGACTTCATTTTGTATACAATTGTATAAAATTTTATTATTTATTGTATATTAATAGCAGAAATGAGAAAAAAACGACGGAACCTGAATTATCTGACACTATAAAATATAAATATTGTCCTATATTTTATCTTTATCATTGAACACAATACTGATAATAGTTATACGTAGTTTTCCTTAAGAAGGATGAACATACAAGCACCAGTGGCAGGTGTTGCGAGTGGGTGTTTTTAATTTATCGTTTTAATTTATGTTATTATGTCGGATCTATTGTATGCAGTGGAATATGCAAGTACAGGAAAATCAAATTGTAAAGTATGTAAACAAAGAATATACAAAGGAGCGGTTCGTTTTGCAATCTTGCTACAATCAGCATTTTGTGACAAAAAAATACATTACTGGCATCATGAGGGATGTTTTTTCAAGAAAATATTTTTAAATGACGTTAGTGAAATCGCAAAATTTAACCTACTTTTGTACGAAGATCAAGAGAGAATAAAAAGAAAAATTGAAAATTTTGCGTTGTCACTCTCTGAAAGAAGCAAAGTTTCAAAAAGAACTTCAGATGATGCTTATATGCATATGATTTCTACGTTCTCGATAGAATATGCGAAAACGAGTAATGCAACGTGTCGGCTATGTGATGTAAAAATTATTAGAAATGAAATCAGAATCTCTAAGTGTCTTTATGATCCAAGATATCCAGATAGTCTAAAGTGGTACCATGTTCAATGTTTTATAGATAAAGGAGAGGATCTAATGTTTATTGCTAGGGGAGAGGATATACCTGGCTTTAAAAATCTTAAAGAAGATGATCAAAAACTAATAAATAACGCAATAAAGAACGCGGCACCTATCATTAAAAAAGTAAGAATAAACTTAAATAATGAGTCAGAAAAGAAAACAAATGATGAATTATCAAATAAAGTAGTTAAACAAAGTCAACTTTACGATCAGTATAGAAAGGACTTGGGTTCTTTGAATAATAATGAACTTCATAAATTATTGGTAGAAAACGGTCAGGATATACCTTCAAGTCGCAAAGAATGTTTAGATCGCTTAGCTGATTATATGGCTTTTGGAGTGCCCAAGAAATGTCCTGAATGTGGTAGCCAAATAATCCTCAGTGATTTTAATTACAAATGTTATGGTTACACAGATCCTTGGGCACCATGTAATTATACAACACAAGACCCTGACAAAGAGGTAATGAGAATTCCCGAAACTCTTAAAGATAATTCAATATTTAAAGAATTTAACAGCGTTATTGCACAACGCTTCTTTAGGAGTCAGTCGGCATTATCAGCTGAAGTAGCTCTTAATTCTCATACTACTGTAAATCAAAAACTTTATCCAATAAAAAACCTCCAATTTTATATGTATGGTAAACTTAAAACTCCTAAAGAGGATCTTACGCGTCGTATTCTACAATTGGGAAGGTCTTGTAGTCAGGAAACTTACGGAAACTACTGCCGCTGTAGTAACTACTAAAGAAGAGTTAGAAAAAAAATCAACCATAATACAAAATATTGAAAGTAAGAAAATTGAGGTGATAGAAGAATCTTATTTTGATTTAATTGACACTGAAAATGCAACAGTTCTGGATTCTCTTAAGCTTATTAAAGAAAACAATATTGCTAATTGGGGATCAGATCCAATAAAAAGAATCCCTCAAAATATTATTGAAGGGAAAAATGTTCCCAAGTCAGGTAGCATGTACCACCGTACTGCATCAGAACAAAAAGTTTCAAAAGTAAAAATTATGGGTGGTATGGAAGTTGATCCTCAAACCGGTTTGGAAGAGAAGGCCCGTATTTATAAAGATACTGAAAACAATTATTCGGTAGTCTTAAGTAATTCAGATGCAGTTAATAATAAAAATTCATATTATAAGCTACAATTGTTAGAAGCTAAGGATAATGATAGTTATTGGGTGTTCCGTGCTTGGGGAAGAATTGGAACATCAATAGGTGGAAAAAAACTTGAAATTTTTGCAAATATTGACGATGCAAAGAAACAATTTATTTCAGTTTACACCCAGAAAACGAAAAATCAGTGGGGATCACAAATTAATTTTGTAAAAAAGCCGGGCGCTTACGTTCCTATCGAAATTAATTACAAGGATTTTAGACAATCATCTATTCAAATAAATACCAATTCAAGCATCCCGAAATCTGTGCAGTTACTAATAATGAAAATATTTGACACTGAAGTAATGAATAAAGTACTGTTAGAGTTTGAACTTGATGTTACAAAAATGCCATTAGGTAAATTGTCAAAATCACAAATTAAATATGGATACGTTGTTCTATCAGAACTACTTCAGGAGTTTGATAAAGATAGAGCTGACGAGAAAAAAATAATAGCAGCTACGAATAAATTTTATAGTTTAGTGCCACATAACTTTGGAACAGATAAGCCTAAATTATTAGATAATCCCGAGATTATTAAAAGAAAGATAGAAATGTTAGATAATCTATTAGAAATTGAAATTACATACAAATTGTTGGTAACACCTTCAGAAGACTCTTTATGTTCAATTGAATCTTATTATCTTAAACTGAAAGCAGACATTAGACCATTAGACAAAACATCAGCTGATTTTAAACTTATTGCCACCTACATGAAAAATACTCATGCTCCAACGCATACTTCTTATATTCTCGAAATTGAAGAGCTTTTTAAAGTTTTTCGTGATGGTGAAGATGAACGTTATAAAAAATTCAAACAACTTGATAATAAGCGTCTACTTTGGCATGGATCTCGAATCACAAATCTTGCTGGAATCCTTTCTCAGGGTCTTCGTATAGCACCCCCGGAAGCACCGGCAACAGGTTACATGTTTGGAAAAGGCGTGTACTTTGCAGATATGGTTTCGAAGTCTGCCAATTACTGCTTTACAAATAAAAACAATCCTACTGGTTTTGTTTTAGTATGTGAAGTGGCTCTTGGAGAAATGAAAAAATGCTACAGAGCACAATGTATAAGTGAGCTTCCAGCTGGAAAACATTCAGTGTGGGGTGTAGGTCGAACTCAACCTAACCCTGCAGAAAACGTAGTTTTAGATGACGGTATTATTGTACCCCTGGGCACACCAATTAGTAAAAAAGTTCGCAGTTCTCTTCTTTATAATGAATTTATTGTTTACGACGTTGCACAAGTTCACGTAAAATACTTAGTGCAATTGAATTTCAAATTTAAATAAGAAGTTAAATGAAGAATAAAAAATAAATATTAATTTATTATTTATTTTCTTATTTCATATTGCCAATTTAAAACATTGTTAGTAATTATAATTATTATTGTATTGATATATTAACAGACGTCATAATAAGAAACGAAATTACTTTTATTTATACTAAGAGCTAAAATATATTTATAAAAGTAAATAAAAGATTGTTATTGGTTTTGAACTTTTTTATTAACAATAATTTTCTAATGTTAAGGTTAATAATATTTAAGTTAATAAAAGATGAGTAAATCGCATCTCGTTATTGAGAATTATATGTAAAGCATCTTATACCTAGTCAGGTCATAAATTTTGTCACACAGTAAAAACTTTTCATTTAGAATGTTGGCTACAAAAAAGTTTATTGAATTTGAATTTCGAATTGTCCATGAAAATAAAACTGAATACTTTTTATAATTTTACTCATTTTTAAATATGGAGTGGACGCTTAAAGAAGACCGTGTTGCAGTTATTGCGTTGCATAGTTGCGGTTACGCGCCATTTCAAATTTTTGACATACTAAAAATTTTGAATATAACCAAAAGAATCGTTTATCGTCCTCGGTTTGTTAGGACTCCAGCAGTGATAAAAGCTGTGAAGGCGCGAATTCAAAGAAATCCCAAACGTAAGCAGAAACTGTTGGCCCTTCAGATGGGGTTAAGCAGAACCACGGTGAAAAGGGTGTTAAATGAAGACTTAGGGCTTCAGGCATACATTTTTGTGAGAAAGGTGTAAAAACGAATGCAGTTGTGTATCAAAATACAGTCCTGATGAACCTTGTGGAACCTGTTTCTCATTCCATGTTCAATAACAGGCACTGAGTATTCCAACAAGATTCGGCGCCAGCTCATAGAACGAAGAGCACACAAGACTGGCTGGCAGCGCGTGAAATCGACTTCATCCGACACGAAGACTGGCCCTCCTACAGTCCAGATTTGAATCCGTTAAATTACAAGATATGGCAACACTTGGAGGAAAAGGCGTGCTCAAAGCCTCATCCCAATTTGGAGTCACTCAAGACATCCTTGATTAAGGCAGCCGCCGATATTGACATGGACCTCGTTCGTGCTGCGATAGACGACTGGCCGCGCAGATTGAAGGCCTGTTTTTAAAATCACGTAAGTCATTTTGAATAAACTTTAGTGTCATAAGAATCTAGTTTTTGTTAAGTTCATTTTGGTATATAAATGGTTACATAATGAATAAACTTGTTTCAATTATTTTGTATTAAACATGTGACAGAATTTATGACCTGACTAGGTATATATATATAAGATATTACGTACAAGAATATATTTGCAGAGGCAAATGGTTGGTTTTTATTAGTTGAAATAAAAACAAAGTAAATTCATATACTTGCCTTTATAGTGGCGCGCTGTATAGTGGCAGCGTAAGTAAAGCTATGGTGTCGTAAGAAGGAAAGAGGAAAACTGAAACAGGAGATGGGCAGCAGCGTCTTCCTGATAAAAGCTAAAAATAATAAAATATCTGCAGTTGCCAACTGCAACTATGGCAAATAGTTTATGGCCATAGGCCTAAGTTTCGACAATATTTAGCTTCATTACCTAAAACATATTTAATAAGCACTTAAAATTACAATTAACAACTACAAAGATGCCGGCCGAATGCCGGAGAGTTAAAAAGACAATTTTATCAAACACTTAACTGAATACAAAACTTTAGAGATATTTTCATTTGTTTGAATCAAATATTGTCTTCATTCACCCTATCCTATACCTACAGAATATTTTTACAAATTATTATAAATATATTATAATATGGAGTAAAATGTATTTCAAAATTCACAATCTGAATTCTTTGTCGTGTTATCTTAAGATTCAAAAACAATATAAGAAATTAGTTTCATCCCACACTATTCTATACAAAAATAGACACGGGTCTTGATGTATTCCGAGTCAGTCACGAATTGTACGAATGATTTATCTGAAACGAGAGGTAGAGTGGCCCGAGATAAGACGTGACAAATCAGGGTCTGAACATCTCTGTTTACAATTCTATAGAGTTGACGACTTACTCATGCAATTCTGTTTACCTTTTAGAAGGGTATATGTGAAAAGGATTGTATATAAGTTTTAAGTAAGAATCAAACTCTTTGATGTTTTTCTTTTCTTTTAATTAAAAAATTGTTTAACGTTGAACAAAGGCTTTCACTGATTTTTACGACAATTATGTAGAGCGAAATAGTAGAATAACTTGACAGCATCTACCTTTCCGTTCAATCTGCAAGACAAGATTGAATAAGCTTTTCTTAAGCTAAGTTAGACGCTTTGAATTTTTCGGCTGCATCACCACTTACCATCACGTAGAATAGTAGCCAAGCACTGGCTGGAAATATTAAAAAAATCATGAGGCAGGAAAGTTTCCACGCGTTTTTTTCTAAGATATGCAGGTTTTCTCCTCGATTTTTTCAGCACGTGGTAAGCGGGCGGTAAGGATTGTTATTTCCAATTTCATCGGCGGGGATTGAACACTGTTGAAATAGTATGAAGTATGAAATTTTAAGGCTTGCATTTATATCAATCAAACCCGATTCAATATAGTAGATTAGTTAGATTCAATATAGAAAATCAAATCCGATTCAAATTACATATAACGTTGTCTCATTATATGGGACAGGTCCTATCTTCAGCAGCGGACTTGTTAATGGCAGTCATTACTGTTTATATTAATATAATCAATAATAAGATTTAAGACAAGGAAGTATTCTCACAGCAAACCCTAAACCTACAATCGTATGATGGTAAATTAGTTTAACGCTGAATGAATAAGCAAGTTGAAGTCGATTTGATTATAAGCTTATCAGTACAAAATCCTACTAAACAATATAAACATCTACTAACATGAGCTCAATTTCTTTTATCATGATATTACTGGACTATTATCGTTTAAAGAAATTACCCATTTATATAATACCTACTGATGATTTTATATGGAGCAAGTGAGATGCGGGAAGTAAAGAATGAGGCCAAATTTTTTTTTGGTTTTTGGTCATTTTGATCCTCTAGGAGTGTAATGAGAACTTTATGCCCCTATTCAACTATGACTCCCATGACATCCTCTAGATGATAGACTATTCAAGCTGACTAGGCCTAAAGTTAGAGTCAACCAAGTTGAATTAGATTCTTTCAAAGAACTATACGAACATAAATCTAAGTAATTTACATAACATAAGGGGTATATTAAGTTGCTACTTGCTAGGTAACTCGTTTCACACCGAAGTGAAAGTCTAACGGTGCATGTTCATTTTGTCGTTTCTTTTCTATTGTGTGAAAATAACGGCACCTGTTAAAAGAGCCTAGATTTATGATACAACCGCCAACAAATGCAACGTGATGTAGATGCTCTTTGCGCGAGAGGTAGTAGTAAGTACTCTCGATGGTGTCACATTAATTTAGAATTTGTTTTTTAATTTTCAAACAATTTAATCGTCAGTTCAAATATAACAAAATAATATTCGATTATAAAAAAAACCTCAAACAACACGCATTGATCACTGGCTGTGATGATTCTTGTGAAAATAGAGAATAGAGGTCACGGAAATGAAATTATTGTATTACTATCGGTCCTAAATACGAGTACGTCTGCAAAATTTCAGATTGTACAGACATTCAGAAGTACGTGATAACTAAATTTTAAAATTTCATTGCATTTTAATTTTTTTATAGCATTCATATACCTATACATACATACATATGTATAATGTAATATTTATTTAGGTAATCTACTTTTAAGTAATCTTCAGAGCCTATTCCGAAGAATCTTAGTAATTTCCGATTGACTACTTATTGGGTATGGTAAGATAAGGTAAAGGCACTAATGCTTGATAGTGAACTAAAGGATGAAACATTCGGAAAAATCTCTTTTATTAAGAATAGTTTTCTTGATATAACTTTAATAATGTTGTTAAAAGACATCTATTGCCATCTAAGACGCTTAGACAAAACCTTTCATTCGCCTATTTAAATTGTATTCAAATTAGCATGAGTTAAAGTAAACTATGTAGCAAGTGAACGCGTGTTCTGTGATTTATTATCAAAATATTTAAGTAGGTTGACATTTCACATGTTTTATTTTGTTTTATATTTTTACGATTTATCCTACTTTTTGTTTTGGTTACGAATTAATAAGATATTATTTATATAGTAAGATCCCACAGACTTCGTTATTCGTTTATATTTTGTAATTATTTAGAGTTTCTACTATTAGTGTCGAAAATAAGTCAAAACCTAAAAGCAGACACATGTGTCATCTATTGGGGTAGTACGAATCTGAATTTCTAAGTGCCCGTTTAAACGAGTAAAGACTCTATTCGCTATGAATAAGGGCCTGTCTAAATTTGACAACTTTTTCACTATCGTACCTAACTAAATACAGAATGTCATCTATTAGGGTACAAGACGACAACTATTGGTGTCATCGTCACTTAGTTAAATGACCTTTTGATTCCGGATTTTATATTTGAACAAGATGCCGCCAAAAAAAGGAAAGATGTTTTGTTATTCTGAAGCTGATATGGAAGCAGCTATAGAAGAATGCAGGCGAGGTGTTCCGACAGCAACTGTTGCAAAAAAATTTGGTGCACCGAGAGTAACTCTATTGAATAAAGTAAAGAGAAAAACAAATAAAACGTAAAATGGGAATAAACTGTTATATGACCGAACAAATAAAAAAGATGTTGGTAACGTGGGCAAAAGCTACTGCACCATATTTTGCAAAGCTTACCATTCTTCAAAAGGGTTTCTAAATTTAAATCATTCTCTATTTTCTTGACATCTTGCAAATTGTATTTCCCTATCGGAAATCCTTGTTTCATAGATGGTGCATAGATATTTGCAAGATAGTGTTAAGAAATTAGTAGACGATTTGAATTTAGAATATAAAATAATATCTTTGTCATATTTTGCAAAATTTCTCCAAAACGGCACAAGCTTTTTAAATAGTTCTTATACTAAAAA